CAGATTCTCCAGCATCGGCAGTTCCCACTATCACTAATATTTCACAGTTGGGTTAGAATTTACTGGAGAAGAAGTTGAAAGCAATGTGGTAGTTCCAATTGCCTTCCCAATTATTACATGAGGTGAGGTAGCATCAGTTAAAGTGTGATCAACAATTGCATTTAGAAAGTGCTGGTCGTGTAATAACATGTCCAATGACACTTCACAAGCATTCATCAAACAAACTTTGCCGCTGATCCAACTAAGATATTCGGACAGGTGACCAAAAACATTGTTAAATAGATGGGTTTTAAGGACCATTGTAAAGGAGGAGAGAAATTGAATTTGGTTTAGAAGGGGAATTAGAAGGGCAGCTCACAGCATAGACACCTATGGTGAAACAATCAAAATTAGAGGTGTAAAACTGCAGAATTGTTAAGTGGCTGTGGAGTTGAAGGAGGTCACAGAGATAGGGTGAGGTGAGACAGTGGAGAGATTTGGGGTATTGATTGATTTTTTTGTTGTCACATGTACCAAAATATAGTGTAAAGTGTTGTTTTGTGTGCTATACAGGCAGATTGTACCATTCAAAGTGCATCAGGGTAGCAGAATACAATATTACAGCTACAGAGAAGGTGCAGAGAGAGAGAGAACATAATTAACATTTGAGAGGTCATATCAAACGTCTGACAACAGCAGAGAAGAAGTTATTCTTGAATCTATTCATACGTGCATTCAAACTTTTATGTCTTCTTCCTGACAACAGAGGTTGGAAAAGAGTTTAACCAGGGTGGGAGGGGTCTTTGATTATGTTGATTGCTTTCTCAAAGCAGTGGGAAGTAGTAGATGGATAGAAGGCTGGTTTGTGTCATGGACTTGGCTGTGTTCACGACTGCAGTTTCTTGTGGACTGGGGAAGAGCAGTTAACATACCACGCTATGATGCATCCAGATAGATGCGTTCTATAGTTCATCTATAAAAATTGGCAGCTGAATTCGATCAGCAAACACAGGAGATACAGGTGAATGAGACTTGATGTGAGTTGGATATGTGGAGCTGATGTATGGACATGCTTAAGTTAATGGAGGGTGGGGAATGGAAGGCCGGCCAGGAGAACATTGGAATCATCAAATCAAGAATTAATAAGAGTGGATAAATGTTTCATAAGCCAATGGACGTAGACAGAATTGGAGATGGGCATTCTTAATGATGACACAAATATGTGCAGACAGGATAGTGGGTTATAGTTATCAAATCAGCAAAGTTCAAATATCTCAGAGGCACACTAATGCTCTTCAACCTTTGCGAGCAGCACTGGACTGTTTGGCACATTTTTATTTGACAGCTTGTGTGTCATCTAGCTTCGAGGTCAGGAAAGCAACAATGCTGGTCTTTGACACTGAGCAATCAACTATGAAGATTATTGATGAGGTGATGAAGTGGGGTATGTAATTTGGAAGTGTCCTAGTTTTCCATGCATACAACGCGCTTAACATTGTAGAAGAACTAAACCCAGGTTAGTACATTTTGGAAAAAAGTAGCAGGGTATCAGAATTGAGAATGGAGGTCCTAGGATTAAAGCTGAAGAATATTTCTTTATGCAAGGTTGTATAGTAACTAGAAGGATGGTTGAGATGAGGACACTGATTTTAAAAAAAAGACTGCTGCAGAAGATTGTTTACTTTAGTAGTTCTGAAACTTGACAGACAAATATAATGAAGTACCAAACTAGTTCTGGCTTGGGGAACCACAACCTCTTATATCCATCCAGTCTGAAAATAAATCATTTCCCACTATTTGCTGTTTCCTCATTTTTAACCAACTTTCTGCAATTGCAATCACACTATCTCTGATTCATGGACCTCAGTTTTACCAACAAACCTAGAATGTGACATGCGATCAAAGACCAGCTTGCACATCTATCACTGCACTTCCCTTGGTTGAGAATTGCTATAGAATCTTAGCTCCTTCTCAAACACAATATCTATAATGCACTTAACAGGGATGGAACTATTTTTCATAATAGTGCTTATTGAAGAGAAAAAGTTTGTATTCTTGATTATTGTTGATTTGTAACTGAGTTTCTCAGTACTGTTCATTTGTGGGGAAAAAAGGCCAGGTTTATGCACTAAACCTGCTGAAAAGATATTTTTTATTTGTTAGTAGATTGAGTGTTGCTGGCTAAGTCAGCATTTTATTAGAGATGGTGGTGAGCGGTTTTCTTGAACCACTGCAGTCTGTGTGTTGTAGGCAGACCTCTAGCATTATTACGTAGAGACACCCAAGATTTCGATGCAGCAGTGATGTGGGAATTACAATATATTACCATTTCAAGATGGTTTTAGAATGTTGTAAGCAATTTGAGTGACATGACTCACTAATAAATGCAATATGACTTCATGCCTTCGTGTTAACTCCACCTTGGAAAACAGTGTCTTTTCATTTTTGTTTTTAGTATAATAGTGAATTTTAATTTTAAAATGATAAGGAATGTAAAATGAAAACATTTTATATGAGACTGACATTATATCTTTTATTCTTTGACCATAAAATTTTGAAATTGTACTTCAGTATTAGTATGCTGTGGTAGAAAATCGAGTTCTAACATCAAAATTAACTGTAGGTTTTCATTTGGAATGCTTATGGTCCATAAAACAGGTTACATGTATTATTTATTTTCAGTGAAGGAAATAATGTTCGTTTATATTACATTGTGAACTTACAGCTGTGGAATCTTAATAAAAGATACTTAGATCATCATAGAGTCTTACAAGATAAAAGTACATGATATGGCCTATCATATGGTACCATTTCTTTAAAGGATATTTGAAACAAAACTTTTGTCTGACTGTTTGGGTAGCAGTAAAAAACTACAATAGAATGTGGGGGCTTTGTTTTATTCACTCATGGGATGTTTGCATCGCTGACTGGGCTGGCATTTATTGCCCATCCCCAGTAGCGATTGAGAAGGTGGTGTTGAGCTGCCTTCTTGAACTGTTGCAGTCCATATGCTGTTGGTAGACTCTCAGTGCTGTCAGGAAGGGGCTGCCAGAATTGGCATGTTTTTCACTCTTGTTGGTTTCCTAACTACAGCAGATCTGGTCTGGCAGCTTTGTTCTTTATGACTTGATCAGCTTTGTTAGCTGTGGTGCTGCCAAGCCACTGTTGGTAATTAACAGTAATGTCCTCCACCCAAGGGTACATCTCATGGCCTTTCCACCCTCAGACTATGGATTCATCAGCTGAGGTGGTCATCAGGAGTCAATGCTGAGGACAGCTAGGGCAATTCCCTCCTAACTATATACCAGTCTGCTGCCACCTCTACTGGGATGGTGCTGTCTGTGACGTTGTCTGCCAGGCAGAATTCAATGAGTGTGACTGTCAAGCTATTTAACTAGTCTGTGAGAAATTGCTCCCAATTTCAACATAATGTTGACAAAGGGGACTTTGCAGAGTCAGCAGGGCTAAATGTGCTGTTATTGTGTCTGGTACCTTAGACGATGCCAGGTGATTTGTCTAGTTTCATTCCTTTTTTGGGGAAAAATGCTGAGTGTCTTGATAGGCCATTTCAGAGCACAGTTAAGAGTCAACTACATTGCTGTGGGTCTGCAATTATATGTAGGCGAGATAAGGATAGCAGTTTTCCTTCCTTAACGCACATTACTAAGACAGATGAGTTTTTCCACCAATTGACAACGATTTCATAGTCATCATTAGATATTTAATTCCAGATTTTATTCAATTCAAATTCCACCATCTGCCACAGAAAAATCTGGAGAAATGAGATCAAGTTAACCAAATAATTGATGTCACCCTACCATAGAGCTGTATAGCATGAAAACAGACCCTTCAGTCCAACTCGTCCATGCTGACCAGATATCCTAAATTAATCTAGTCCCATTTTCCAGCATTTGGCCTATGTCCTTCTAAACCCTTCCTATCCATATACCCATCCAGATGCCTTTTAAATTTTGTAATTGTACCAGGCTCCACCACTTCCTCTGGCAGCTCATTCCATTCAGACACCACTCTCTGCGTGAAAAAGTTGCCCCTTAGGTCCCTTTTAAATTTTTTCCCTCTCACATTACATCTATGCTGTCTAGTTTTGGACTCTCCCCACCCCAGGGAAAAGACCTTGTCTATTTACCTTATCCGTACCCCTCATGATTTTATAAACCTCTACAAGGTCACCCTCAGCCTCCGATACTCAGGGAAAATATCCCCAGCCTATTCAGCCTCTCCCTGTAGCTCAAAACCTCCAACCCTGGCAACGTCCTTCTAAACCTTTTCTGAACCCGTTCAAGTTTCACCCATCCTTCCTATAGTAGGGAGGCCAGAATTGCATGCAGTATTCCAACAGTGGCCTAACCAATGTCCTGTACAGCTGCAACGTGACCTCCCAACTCGTATACTCAATGCACTGACCAATAAAGGCAAACACACTGAACGCCTTCTTCACTGTCCTATCTATCTGCGATTTCACTTTCAAGGAACCATGAACCTGCACTGCAAAGTCTCTTTGTTCAACAGTACTCTCCAGGACCTTACCATTAAGTGTGTAAGTCCTGTGCTGATTTGCCTTTCCAAAATGCAGCACCTCACATTTATCTAAATTAAACTCCACTTAATTAGTTCGGTGTAAACACCAACTTAAAAAGAAATCGCCAAATTTTTTTCTAAAAGATTGCTGTGGCTATAATTTTGCATAGCAATTCGATGAATATCTGTTCTATTTCTAAATTGTTTTTGTTTTTCTTTTCAGTTTTACATCCTAATTAATTTCCAACATTTGTATCCTTTGTAGCTGGTCCTACCTTGAACTTACCACAAATGGATCATACAAAGACAGTTTACAGGCTTATGCTGCTGGAGTGCTGGAGGCTGCTGTCACACAAAAGGTAAATTTAACTTATCATTCTGCTTATTGTTATATTATTAATGTTATATTATTAAGATCCACATTCTGTGGAGATGAGCAAGGAATATAAGAAAAAAGTCTATTTGTGTGCCATAGATTTTATTTCTAGTTAACAAAACTAAATTTTAATGATCAGGGAGACTTATTGTTAGGTCTGTGAATTTGAAACAGCCGAATTGATTTTTGCTTAAGGAGTTCATGGTTCACAGCATAGGTATATCTCAGTGAGAAAGAAGGATTCTAGGAAGGAGATAAGCTGAGATAGTAGGAACTGCAGATGCTGGAGAATCTGAGATTTCTGAAGAAGGGTCTAGGCCTGAAACGTCAGCCTTCCTGCTCCTCTGATGCTGCTTGGCCTGCTGTGTTCATCCAGCTCTACGTCTTGTTATCTCAGGAGATAAGCTGACCATGGTTTACTGGATAAGTTAAGGATGGCATCAAATTGAAAGTTTAAAAAAAATGGTGTGGCAAAATTACTGGTAAACTAGAGGATTGAGAAATTCGAGAAAGTCAACAAAAGATGACCAAAAATAATAGACAAAGATTAAAAACTTTGAAGGTAAACTTGCAAATAATATCAACATAGTCAGGAAGAGCTTATTTAAATATGTAAAAAGAAAGCAAGATGCCAAAGTGAACATAAGCCCCTTAGAGAATGAGGCTCTGAACATAGTAATGGGGAACTAGGAAATGGCAGAGGAGTTGAATAAATACTTTGCATCAGTCATCACAATATAAGACACTAATAGCGTTCCAAAAATACTAAATACCCAAGTGGCTAAAGGAGGAGAGTAAATGAATACAATAAAATCACTAGAAAAAAATGTACATGGAAAGCTAATGGGACTAAAGACCAATAAATTCTCTGGACCTGATGGGATATAACCTGTGACATAAAAATAAGGCACCGCAACGTGTTTCAAACTCCTTGCTGCTGTGAGCTGTGGGGGCAGAGTCCCATTGTAAATTTAAAGCTGAGATAGATTCTAGATCAGTAGAGGAATTGAGGGATATGGGGAAAGGGCTGGAAAGTGGATATGAGGAGTGTCGGATCAGTCATGATCCCGTTGAATGGAGCCTCAAGGGACTGATGGCCTACTCCTGGCCTTGTGTAAAAACAAAGCATTTAGAAACCGATAATATGTTGAAGCTGTGTCAGCATTGTTTCACAAAGGATGGGAGGGTCCAGGACCAGAGGGTGTAATCTCAGAATTAGTGGTTGTGTATTTAAGACAACAGAGAGAAGGAATTTCTTCTCTGTGGCTAGTGAATCCATGGAATTCTTTACCACAGAGGGCTTTTGAGGCTGGATTGTTAAGTATATTCAAGGATGATTATAGGTTTTTAATCTGTAAGGATTACGGGGAAAAAACAGGAAAGTGGATTTGAGGATTATCAGATTAGCCATGATCTTATTGAATGCCAGAACGGACTTCATGGGCTCAATGGCCTGTTCCTTCTCCTATGTTTTCTGGACTATGTGGTCTTATTTTCAGCTGTTGAGAATGCTGAAGAAGGCTTTTAATTTCATTTTACAGTTTGTTTTAAATCATAAGAAATATTTTGAATTGAGAATTTTTATAATATTTTCATTTTTCTGCTTTTGAAAGCCGAATGGATGTTTAGTGTGTCAAAAGCCTTCTTCATCCCCATATGGAAGAAAATCAAATAATTTGTTGAAAATCTAGTAAGCAGCTGTATTTAAATCATGTCCTTTTTCTTTCCAATCTTCCTTCTTCCACACCTCACCTTGTTGATGACTTTATTACAGTAACATTCCACAAGCAGCCACAACCCTTGTACTTTACCCAAGTGGCCGTTCTTTATGCATACTGATTTTTAGGTTATTTTATTATTATTGTATCAGAACAAAGTCTGACTCTATCCTTAATCTGTTTACATGAATGTTCTGTTAGAATAATTGACAATAATCAATCATGTTAGTTTTCCTTCCATAAATCACAGATATTAAAGTCCATCTGACAAAGTAGATTAGCAAACTCAGCATGGATCAGGAAATGAACTTGAAAGCTTCCAGTCTTCAGGGCAGCATTGAGTGGTGCCTTGACACTCAAGGAATTGAAATTTGATTTGATAAATCAAGTTTTTGAATTAATAAATTACAAACTCATAAATGCTTGAGGTGTCAGGTGAGAACATCAAGCAATTGCTCAAAATTGGATTTTAATTCAAGTTTTATTTTCAGTAATGATAACACTCATCTGGTACACAAACTTACATGGAACTTCTGTACATTAAAAGAAAAATGTTTGAATCTGCGGCAATGAGTTCCACAGATTCACCACTCTCTGGCTGAAGAAGTTCATGCTTGTCTCCCTTCCAAAGAGTCATCCCTTCACTCTGTGGCTGTGCCCTCAGGGCCTCTCCCACTTGTGGAAACATCTTCTTGTCTACTCTATGCAGGCCTCAGCAACATTTGCAACTTGCAGTCCATGTTCAAATGCAGCAAGATCTGGGCAATATCCAGGCTTGGGCTGACAGCTGATAACTGACATTCGTGCCTCACAAATGCCAGGCAATGATCATCTCCAGTAAGAGAGAATCTAACCACCCCTTGACCTACAATAGTGTTACCATCACTGAATTTCCCACTATTAACATCTTTGGGGTTACCATTGATCAGAAAATCAATAGGACTTGCCACACAGAGTGGCTACAAGAGCAGGTCAGAGGATAGTTTAAAAAAATGATTCGGAGATGGTACATTTGAGTTGAATTATGAACCCCTTTAACAGTATCTTCCCAAACCCACAGCCTCTACCAGCCAAAGAACAGGGACAGTAGATGTGTTGGGACAACACCAGTTGAAAGTTCCTCTCCAAGTTCCATACCATCCTGACTTGGAAAGTTATGACTCTTTCCTCATTAACATTGGATCAAAATCCTGAATTTACTTGAACTGCAGCAGTTTGTGTGGGAGGCTCACTACCACCTTTTCAAGGATAACTGGATGAAGCCAATAAATGCTGGCCTAGCTAGTGATGCCCATATCCAATTAGCTGATTATATTAAAATATGCAAGTACCATTCTCATAGCAAAATATTTTAAGTCTCTTATTTAGAGAGACTTTCTAATCCTCTTTTGCTTCTAGGATGTCTGTCCTAACAAAACCTTTATGTCCTGCCCAAAAATATTGTAAATATAATGCTGTGGTATTTTCAGAAAGGTGTTATATATAATTAAGTATTTGATGATCTAGATCTGTGAAGTACACAGTACTCTCGTCCTGGCCATAATGGGAAGTATCCTGGTTCATGTAAAATGTATTACGTTATGTGTAATCAAATGAAACATGGACATATAAACTTCTTACACTTAGGTAATGCTTTTAACATTGTAAAATGCCTGTGAAATGTTTCCATTTTGTCACTGGCACATAGGTTTAAGTATGTTTCTTGATTACTTTTGTTTTTAGGAGGACTGTACTATGTGTTAGCAGTATGAGATGTAATGGTTTTCTGACATGTCTCCTAGAACTAATGACAATATCAATGGTTACAGCAATACATTTTCTCTTTCTGTACTTGAATATTCTGGCTGAAGAGGTTTTTGTTCTGTATTTTAATTGATGGTTTTAAATTTTTTTCAAGTACATTTATATGCATTGGATGAACACACTGTCTCACTATTGTGGACCCAAGTATCAGACTGCTTACTGTGAGAAACTTAAAAATTATATTGAATCCAATCTGGCTTGGATTGAAGAGCAAGTGGTCAAACATGGGGATAAAGCATACTGGCATCAGGTAAGATGCAGTCCAGATGCATTAAAAGTCTCAATCAAAACAATTGGTCAGTACGTAATCTTTTTAGATCTGCAGTAAACTGATACAAACCTACATGGTTGCAGAGGAATCCATTGTTTTTAGTTTGCTAGCTGCTGTTCTGAGCTGAATGTGTAATTGGTGTGGCAGCAGTTGAAACCCAGTGTCATAATTCCGTGCTAATGCACGAATCACGTTATCGGCTGATTTATTTGTTCAAGCTTTTTTGAAATTTAGAAACTCGCCTCCATAAACAGTGATTGCTGGATCAATTGTAAATTTTAAATTTGATTTATAAATTTAGTCATCCATAGATACTAAGGGATATGGGGCACTTTTGGCCATTTGCAGTGAGGTCAGAGATCTAACTGAATGGTAGAATAGGCTAAATGGCCTATTCATAAGACCAAAAGAAAGGACCAGGAGTAAGTCATCAGTCCCTTGAGCCTGCTCCACTATTCAATAGGATCATTGCTGATCCGGCACTCCAGAATTCCACTGTCCTGCCCTTATCCCATAACCTTTGATTCCCCTACTGATCAAGAATTGATGTACCTCAGCCTTAAATATACACAAGGACTCTGCCCGCACAGCTCTCTGTGGAAGGGAGTTCCAATGTTTCTAATAGAAATGTCTTTAAGGGCAGATTATGATCTATTACATAGAGGAGACAGTTATAGAGAGTTATGCAGCATAGAAACAGACCCTTCAGTCTAACTAGTCCATGCCAACCATGTTCCCAAACTAGACTAGTTCCCACTTGCCTGTGTTTGGCCTATATCCCTCCAAACCTTTCTTATTCACGTACTTATCCAAATGTCTTTTAAACATTGTTACTGTCCCTGCATCCACCACTTCTTCTGGCAGTTCATTCCACACACTAACTAACCTGTGTAAAAAAAAAAAAAGCTGTCCCTCATGTCCTTATTAAATCTTTCTCCTCTCACCTTAAAAGTATGCCCCCTGGTTTTGAACTCACCCACCTTAGGGAAAAGACCTTTGCTTTTCACCTTATCTATGCCCCTGAAGATTTTATAAACTTCTATAAGGTCACCCCCCCCTCAAGCTCCCTGCTCCAGTGAAATAAGCCCCACCCTATTCAGGCAATTTTTATAATGCAAATCCTCCATTCCTGGCAACATCCTGGTAAATCTTTTCTGATCTCTGTCCTGTTTAATAATATCCTTCCTATAACAAGCCGACCAGAACTATACAAAAACAAAGTTCAGCAGGTCTGGCAGCATCTGTGAAGGAAAAAACTGAGTTAACGTTTCGGGTTTGGTGACTCTTCCTCAGAACTGATGGTGGCTGGGAAATCGTCAGTTTATATGCAGAAAATAGGGAGGTGGGTGGGGTAAGTAGTAAACAATAGGATAGAACCCAATGAGAGAGAAAGACAGTTGGAAGACAAAGGAGTTGTTAACGATCAGGCTGGGAGGGTGAATAGTTGTTAATGGGGTCTGTTAGTGACTAACAACAGGGGGTGTGTAATAGCAGACTATGTGGTAACAATGCCTGGTGTGTGGGGTAGGGAGCTGGGACATGGGAGAGTTTAGGCCCTAAAATTATTGAGCTCCATACTGAGTCCGGAGGGTTGTAGGGGAAAATGAGGTGTTGTTCCTCCAGCTTACGTTGGGCTTCGCTGGAATACTGCAGCAAGCAGAACTGTACATGGTACTCCAGAATAGACCTCACCAAAGTCCTGTACAACCTTAACATCACGTCCCAACTCCTATACTCAGTGGTCTGAGCAATGAAGGCAAGCGTGCCACATACCTTCTTTAACCACCCAGTCTAACTGTGATGCAAATTTCAAAGAATTATATGTCTGAACCCATAGATCTCTTTGTTCTACAACACTTCCCACAGCCCTACCATTATTTGTATAAGTCCTGTCCTTATTTGTTTTACCAAAATGCAATACCTTGCATTTAGCCAAGTTAAACTCCATCTGCCACTCCAAAGCCCATTGACCCAATTCAGTCAGATCTCTACTGTAATCTTAGATAACCTTCTTCCCTGTCCACTATATCACCAATTTTGGTGTCATCCACAAACTTATGAACCATGCCTCCTATATTCTCATCCAAATCATTTATATAAGTGACAAACAAAAGTGGACCCAGTACCGATCCTGTAGAAAACCTCAGGTAGAATGTAAGGACAAGGAAACTCTTCATATTTCTGCAAGGAGTAGGGCTGAAAACTCTGGTCTGGGAAATGTAATGTCCCTGGCTGGTGAAAATCAAAGATGTATCACAAGGATTGGTGTGGAAGATGATGTGGTCCAAAACTAGAAGAGTGGAATATCCTTGAAGGAAGCAGGGTGAGAGGAAGTTACAAGGTAGCTGTGGAAGTTGATGAGATCCCAATTCAACAGCCAGCGCTGGTAATGATTCTGTTGCCATTTACAGCTCTTTGTTTCTTTTCTCATTCCAATACCTCATTACCACCCCTATTGCTCCTTTCCTTCATCCTTTTTGTCATTTTATTACTGTTGCCTCTCCCCATCACATCCATTCCCCTCTGTTTTTCCCATACTTTGCTGTCTGTATTTACTTAAAACTGTTTTGTTAATTTTTTCACCGGGCTTTGCTAGCTACACCTGCAGTTTTTGCCCATCCTGTTGCAATCTAATTTTTTCCCATTCTCACGAAAAGTCAATGACATGAAATATTGTTTTACTGTACACAGGCATAAGACCATAAGACATAGGAGCAGAAATTAGGCCATTCGGCCCATTGAGTCTGCTCCGCCATTCAATCATGGCTGATAAGTTCCTCAACCCCATTCTCCCGCTTTCTCCCCGTAACCCTTGATCCCCATTGCCTTGCCCGCTGAATGCTTTCACCATTTTTTTTTTTTTAATTTTTGAGTACTTACTAAATGATTTTGTTTTACTCCTCAAAACTCACCTCCAAGTGGCAAGTATTCCAAGATATCTGCTGGGACAAAAAGATAATCTGTTGTATTGTGCTATGGGTGAACACAGGATTTAAACTGAGCTATCAGGCTACACCTGCAAGAAATTTCTGCAAATGATGAGTATTAGTTATGCCACCAACTTTCAAAATCTGAGTTTATTAACAAACCCTTTCATTCATGATAAACATTCGCAACTGCACAACACCAAAAAACTGTCAAAATTAGATAAAACATTTTGACCCTATATTTAAAATTTTGGCAAAGATCTGTAGGTTTGGTTGTGGATGAGGTTGTTGACTTCCTCACCAAGCTCGGTGAGCAAGTCAATAACCTCATTTTGGCCCTATTTTATGAAAGAGTTAAACAAATTAACTTTTATTGAATACTCTTGAATATTCTTTCATTGCAGGTAGAGGTTAGGTGACACTGTTTAGAAGTTAAGTACTGTCCTTGGAGCTTAGCAGCCATAACTTACTTGGAATTGTATGGGTGTTCTTAGCTAGAGAGCCCTTGCCTGCCTTCACGTAATTGCATCAAAATTGGAACTAATCAGGAAGTCAAAAGTGTGAAACTGGCACTTATTGCATTCTCTGAAATGTAGCCTTGCTTTTAAGAAACCAATTTGTTGGCTAAAGGCAAATGCTCGCATAGTGGACCTGGGATAAATGAATATATATTTGAGACCTCCCTGAGCATTGACTACAATGAAGAACCTATTTGCAGCTGTGTAAAGTGCAAAAACGAGTTTTGGCTCTATTCAATTTTTGTAAATTGGTACAGGTTAAAATTTTTGCAAGATGTGAGACACCCCGAGGATCTTGATTATTGATCTCTTCTCTCCACCTCCCACAACACTTTTCTGTTTCTAACATATGTTGAACACCTGCAGAGAAGTTGACGGCTTTTGATTTTGTCTTTTGAGTGATGGGTTTGTGGGAGATGGGAATACCAAAACAGGAAATATCTTCAAGGGATTCAAGGAGAAATTATTTTCAAGGTGAGGTAAAAGAAGACTAAGAATGTATCAGAAAGACGTTCAACATGAATATCTATATTTTAAATATATCAGGTGAAATTGGTACTACTACAGCTGCGAGGGCTAGAGGACAGCTATAACAATCATATTTCATTTCCTCATGGGAAGTTCAACTTTCGACCTTTTGGATTCATGTAAGTGGTTTATCTGGTTTTGTAGCACAGATTACATTCCACATTTAAGAGGAAATATAATTTTATTGAAATATATATTGATGTGTGCTTCCATTACCCACTCATATACCAAATAAATGAATGTTTCTTACAGTTGAAATAAATATTGCCGTATCAATATACTTCAAGCTTGAGTTTGAGAGATTTTTTATTAGATAATGGTGTCAAGGGATACGTATCAAAAACATAAATACTGTTGAGGTACATGATCTAATTGAACAGCAGAATAAACTGGTTAGCTCCTGTTACTGGACTTCATACACGTGACAAATGAATTTTTAAAATTTTTCTGTTCACATTTTCTATTGCTGTCTTGTATCTCTTCTTGTATAAGGACCAACTCTCTGAGGCTGCAAAGCCCAGGTTTCCTCAATCATTTCTGCGTACTTATACCTACCAAACTTGGAGACAACATCATGGCTCTTAACTGCACTCCCTCCCATGCTAGAGTATCCCTGTGTTCCCCAACCCCCTTCTGTTTATGTTTAGATACTGCATTCAAGTTTGACCACTGCTTCCTGTGGCTTGTATTCTACAGTTTTGGTCACATACTTCAAGATTCTATTGCCATTGATTTTTGTAGTGCATTGGTTGGACATGAGTGCTGAACTATTTCTCAACTAGCTAAAACACCATTCATGTTTCATCAAGTCACGTATATTACTTTCCATTATGCAGAAGACCACATTTGTCTGCTTTAAATGATCTGTTATTGTTCTTTTCAAGCCATTCTGTAATTTCTATGGGTGCATTTCTGCTTCACTAATGTGGTTGTAACCACATCTGAATGTCAGTTATTTAATAATTCATAAACACTAGTGATCACGGCATTGATCAGTGTACACTGTACTCATGCTATGCTTGGGAAACACAATTGATTCTTCTAACAAGTCAAAAAGGTGCAACTAATTTTATCATTTTAATATTGGAATGGAGTTGATTTTGATTTTGGTTACGATGCTTGTTTGTCTGTGGTTCATTTTGATGTATGAAGTTACTGGATGCTGTTATTTTATGAAGTACTTTATATAGTTTGTCCCATGTTTTAACTTTATTTCTATTCAACCCAAAACTGCTTTGTAGAAGAAAGTAACCTGTAAATTTGGTGAAACTTGTGATTAAAAAGTGTACTATGCTGGCTTTGTCACGTACTGTTGTCATGCTCAGAACCATAGTGTAATAAAATTCTGTTTACTCAATAAACTACATTTCAGTCTTTTTCAGATGGCTGGTGACTTGGAGGATCTTGAAAATGTATTTAATAAAACCGATTCTTCAAAGGCTTTTGGTTCTGGGTCATGTTCTGCCCTCATCAAACTGTTGCCAGGCAACAAAGATCTTCTGGTAGCCCATGACACTTGGACTAACTATCAGTCAATGCTGCGAATCATTAAGAAGTACAAACTGTCCTTTAAAGATGTTCCAAAAGGTATGTGTGCACAATTGTCCTTTTGTAAAATTATTCAACTACTGCAGGAAATCTCCCTAAACCTTAAAGCTTAAAGTACCCAAACTAGCAGAAATCAAATAATTAATTCCAGAACACAATGTTTAATCTGGTTTAGGTTTGGATTGAAAAATGTGATTGAGAGTAATCAGAGGTATCTCAGAGTAAGGGATTTATAGAATACTGTTATATGGCAGTCGTGGCCGAACAGTAAAATAATGCAAATCTGCTTACATTGTGAACTGCTTTTATACTTTTGGTGCATTTCACGAGAACACACATGTCAAGCCATCATTGCAGTGTATGCTTTTATATGGTCCCCTGTTCCAAATGTGAAAGATGAGATAGAACCTCAAGTATAAGTATGACCATGAACCCAGACTATAAAACGCATACATCATCTTGCCCCCATAAGACTATTGCTGGAGGCACTCACTTCTCTACTGTACATCTCTGGAGGCTATCAACTAGATAGCAAGCTAGATATCCCATTGTGGGCTTTTCCCAACAAACAGAAGTTGTAAATGGTAGATAACAAGGTGTAGAGCTGGATGAACACAGCAGGCCGAGCAGGAAGGCTGACATTTCGGGCCTAGACCCTTCTTCAGAAATCAGAAGGGTTTCCTGCTCCTCTGATGCTGCTTGGCCTACTGTGTTCAACTAGCTCTACACCTTGTTATCTCAGATTCTCCAGCATCTGCAGTTCCAACTATCTTGTAAATGGTAGTCCTGTTTGCATGAAATGGAAGTGTTCTATGCTCCAGCATGCAATTTGTGCACAAAAAAAAATTTAAGAAGTTACCATTGATAAATGCATCAATTAATTCCTTAAATATGAATGTTAATGTACAAATGCTTAAAATGTCTAAAATTATGTATATTTGCTCATTGGTATATTTGTAAATGGGGGTTTTACAATCCAGTTAGGAACTGTCTAACATTTAAAGAAAAATCCAAGCTACTCATTAAAGCCATTTGAATTTTGCCACAAGATTTCACTTGATAATTAACAAACAAGCTTTATATGAAAGGATTAAATAGAACAAACGTTATTAACAGAACAATATTTTCAAAGCGATATATGTTGTGCAGTCAGGTTCACTTCTTTCTCACCCCAATAATTCTCTAATAAGACATATCAACCTGAAAGTTTTGACTTCTGTAGGGATCACCTATAAATATGCTGCAGTTCACTTGAGGATTTTCCTTGCCTCTGGCTGTTCTTAGAGGTAAAACTTTGGACTATGGATACCTCTGTCCCTTGCAATAGCTCCAAAATATTCTGCTTATTGCTTTCATTGACACAAGACCCTGTAGGAACCACTAGTTTCAAATGTCAGGTTTCTTGTCCTTCTCAAAATTCAAACTGCACTTAAGTCTAACCCACATTCCAAGTTGTGATTGAAGACATTACATTTTTGCTGTACTTACAGTGAAGGCTACTGTAATTTGCCTTAGCTATCTTCTCTCAGTGAGCCACAAAATGTTCATAGCAGTTCCAAGCTGCAAATAAGTCTCAATGCACCAAGATCAATTGAAACCATAGCACCTGATGCTCTACCTATCTCCATGACAGCATAGCTGCTCTGCAATGTTCTCAAAACTGACCCTGCTTTAAGTGTCCTATCTTTAAAATTCCTTTTATGACCCTTTTGGAAGAAATGGATTTTACAACCTTTTAGTGTTTACTAATGCTTGTAAATTAATTTACCTCCACCTCCCAAAACAAATACATCTCTGTGGAATGCCATTATTACAAGGAATTTCATTTCTAAAGCTGAATAATCCCACATGCTGTTTTAAGGCCCTATCTCTTCTATGCTGACTTTATGAAGCAAACGTGGGTCACCCTTTGAGCTGCCATTTCTTGATGTGATCTGGCAGTCTCTGAGTTCAGCATTTTAGTTATCTTACACTTACAGCTTTCGTCTTCCCAGAGCTAAATATTGCCTCTAAAATATTAACAAAAACTAGAAACTAGATATTCACAGCAACAATAAAGGTTGATGTTTGAAAGAAGAAAGATTAGAGTCATGAACTTTTGATAGTTGGATAGTATTAGTCCTATCCCCCTAAGAAAATCCATTGTTCCATTGTTTTCTTTGCTTAGGTGACATTGCCATACCAGGAGAGGAGCAGGTCTTCTCATCATATCCTGGGATACTATTTTCTGCTGACGATTTCTACATCATGAGCAGTAGATTGGTGAGCAATATATTTTTAAATTCTTTTGTGTTATCTCTTTAATGCCTCCATTGCAGCTGAGGTGGATCTGCTTCCTTCCCTATCCATGGTGGATATCGTACAGCTGTGGGTCATAACTGTCTTTCGGCAGAAAGCTCGAAGAATTTCTTTAATGAACTTTAAATACCAGCATATCATCTGTGGCATTTCTCATAAGGCAAAGGATAGAGTGGTCCTTGCTAAGCCTCAGGTTATCCACTCCTTTCATTTTCAGAAGAACCTGAGGAGCCTCACCAGATCACCTTACCATTCACCCCATAAATCTTTTCTTGTTACTTGACCCGTCACCATTTATGTTTGTTCTCTTTTTTTTTTCACACCCTCTCATTCTTTCTGTCTCTCATGAGCTCATTAATTACAGTTGGATTTCGTAGAATGTACACATTTCACTGCTGGTTATAAAGACCAAAAGTTGTGTTTATATTTTAGTTTAAACGTAGTAATAAATCCCAAAGCATTTTGCCAGAGCATAACCAAAGAGCAATTCATACTGAGCCAAATATGGAGATATTAAGACAGGAGACTACAAGTTAGTTGAAGGAGATATGTTTTAAGGCATACTACAGTAATTATTGAGAGGTGTGTAAGGTAATTCCAAAGTTTAGGGCCTTAGTAGATGATAGCATGAATAATGGGAGGTTGCATAAGAGGCATGAGTTAGAATGCAGAATTTTCACAAGGCAAGATAATGGCACAGAAACAGGGAAGGCTGAAGCCATGTAAGCCATTTGAACAGGAGGGTGAGAAATTTTTAAATCCATGAATTTGTAGGTCAGAATTCAGTGTAGCAGAAGTGATGCGAATTGGAAGTAGGCTGTCTTTGTAGTGGAAAGGAAATGAGTCATCCTGGGGTCAAATAAGTCTGTGAAGTTGTGAAAGTCTTTGATTCTGAGATAGTAGCTGTAAAAGGGGTAGTGGTCTGAGCAGATTCAATGGCTAGCTCATTGATTTTAATTTAAAAGCTCAAGGCAATGACTTTTTTTTTAAAGGGCTTTTTTTAAAAAGAGCAGAAAAATGTTGGCTGATCCACAGCTCGCTGTCTAACAACTGAGGAAATGGAAGAGCTAACAGTTGGTGGTGAGGTGAAACTAGCTGCTTTCAAGATGCATGTCGAGCGTATCAACAGACAATGATGTGGGTGGGCAGCATGTGGAGAGAAGTAAGACAGTAATAAATCCTTAGGGAAGTCTAGAGATAATGGTGTAGGGCAGAAAGAGAAGCCATTGCAGGAAATTATCTAGCCACAACTGTCTATGTTGAAGTGGAGTTGAACACTGGTGATCTGGCAAAGTTGAACATAGGCAGAAAGGCACCTGGAAATTATAGCTGTTCACATCAGAAGCAGACACCATGTAGACAAGCTGTTCACAGTTGGATTGTTTCATTGTTACTACATACTTGGGGAGTCAGCAAATTCCATGATTTTTAAGTGTTGTTTGGGGAAGAAGTCTCAGACAGTCTGCAGTTCATTTACAGGATGTGTTTCTATTTGTATAAATTGTTGGAAAGCAGTTTTGATTTTTTTTGTGTGAGAAAATATTCCATTGAGAGGTGTGTAGAGATGGTGTAGAATTCTCATAGTTTCTGCATCATTAAAGAATATGATTTAGTGCAACTGTTGATAAAATGTAATTAGAGAGAGAGGTAGCTAGAACATCAATAATGAGAGAAGAAAGTGCTTCTATCGACGGTGTTCTGATGACAGCTGCAATTTTAAAATAGAGGTGCCAAACAATTAATATTTGATGAATCATATTCTATCGCTTTCATTTTTTTTCCATTAGGTAGCTCTAGAAACCACAATAGTTAACAATAATGCACGTTTGTGGAAGTTTGTGCAGCCTGTCGGTTCAGTGATGGAGTGGTTAAGGAACATAGTAGCTAATCGACTGGCTAAGAGTGGTGCGGAATGGGCTGCAATTTTTAGGAATTTCAACAGTGGCACGTAAGCTCTATTAATTTCAATTGCCTTGTATTGTACAACACTTTATTTAAAATTTCATTAAGGAATTTGCGTGAGCTGGTAAGGCCAGTTTTTCTTGTCTGTTGTTAATTATGTTTGGGAAGATGGTAGTGACTTCACCTTAAACTGCTGAAACCTGTGCTGTTAGATAATAAGTTTCAGGATTCTGACCCAGAGACGAAGAAGGAATGGCACTATATTTCCAATAAAGAAGACCTATAACTTCAGGGAGATGGTTTCTCAACATACTCATTGTTCTTCTGCTCAAGTTCACAGGTTTTGGAAGTGACCTAAGTGCTTTTCCACAGTACATTTTGCAGAACACTGTAGCCACAATGCACCTGTGTTGGAATGAATGAAAGTTTAAGATAATGGAAATGGTGCTGGACAAGCATGCTGCTTTGTCCTATGTTATAAGCTTCTCAAGTGTTGCTTGAGCTGCACTCATCAAGGTTTTCATATCTGTCGTGGAATGTAGGCTTTGCTGTCAACTTTTGCTGATCTTTAATTACCCTTAAGGTGATTTGGGAATCAGAAAGTTAAATTTGTTGCAATAAGGGATGAATTTTATGGACTTTTCTCGCTGCAAAAGTTAGAGTTGGTGTGTAAATAGCTTAAAACAAATCAGCTATAAAGCTCTTTTAGGTTACAAGTGTGAAACAGAGGTACAATAACACCTTGAGAATTAATGGCCTCAACTGACCAGTTTATTAAAAAGAAATTGACATTTTTCAGTTTTCTTCACATATTGACAATCTGAGTGCCACTCGAAGATTAGGCCCGCATTTATGCATATAAGCGTACAAGTCCTGAGTTTATATGGCTTGACCAGAGAGCACAGCACTGTAACAGTGCCATATAACATAAGATTTTGACTCCAGGTGTCTTTTTGCAAAAACAGATCTCAAAACAGTCCTTACAATTTAATAACTATTAAAAATTGATTTAATTTTACTCTGATTTGCAGACTAAGGTTTCCAAAATATGAGTCCAGTGCTAAGTATATATCTGTCAAGATACCCATAACCAACGACTCATGACTTTAAAATATTTGTTATTTAAATATAAGCACATATCAGTAAGTTTCATACTTTTTGTTACATTGAGGATCTACTTCTAAAGGCATTCAATTTTCCCTTGTCTTCTAATTAAATTATTTACGTCTCAAAAGATTACATTTAACTGTATTGAAAATTGGTTTTAACTGTTTGGTGACATAAGTACAACAAATATTAAAACAAATTTAAAAATATTAAATTTAAATATTAGTTTGTATTTCTCTAATGAAACTTCTAAATGTGCAGTTTGAGTTTTTGTTCGGAAAACGCTTTTGAATTTTATTCACTTCATTCTTGCTACTTAATTAATTTCCACAACATCAAGTCTGAAGCCTCATGAGAATATGTTCAGTACTGACTAGGGTAACCAAATTGGAAAAATAAAACCCACGGTCTATCAAGCCAGTTTTCACTCTGGAATCTGATTTCTCCAATATCACCATCAGTTGAGATCATAGTGACTGGAGAGATTGGAAAGGTTACGGACTGCTCTTAGATTAGGGCAGTTTAAGATAATGAGGATTTTGGCAGATAACCCCCCCCCCCCCCCCCCCCCGCCCCGCCTCTGTCGAGTGGGTCAATTACTGGAGGTAGCACATTGGTAAAAGATCTGGATGGGACATCAGGGAGATGTTTTCACTAAGAAGTTAGGTTCTGAAATGTTGTACTTGAAAAGGTGGTGGGAACTGGTTCTATAAATAATTTTGAAAGGAAATTAGAAATGTAGTTGAGGATGAAGAACTTGTGAGATATGTAGAAAGGCATGACTGCTTTTTGAGAGCCAGCTCGGGCATAATCGGCCAGATGGTGGCCTCATGCGCTATAAGTTTCTTTGATTCTATGTGGACAGATAGCCTGTTTGAGCCTTCAAATTCTCTCTAACGTTAGTAAGCTAATAATAACTTAGATCTTTGTTTTTTGGTCTATTTTAATGCTTACTCACTGCTTTAATGGACACTAAAAATAATGTACTGGATGTTGAAGATTGTTAATGATGATATGTTTTATTTTCTTTTACAGATACAATAATCAGTGGATGATTGTGGACTATAACTACTTTACACCAGGACAAATTGATATTAATAAGAACTTGCTGACAATTCTAGAACAAATACCGTAAGTATGAATGAGAATAAGTATGACTGATTAATTAATTTATCTTCCAGATAATCTTTGGACAATTTTCCTTTGCAATGTGTGCTTTCAGCATTTAGTACTCTTCTCTTTGGAAATGAAGTAAAATAATTTTGTACCTTAGTTTGTTGCTAAGTTGGCTGTATAGCTAGATGCAGATTGTTGATTATATTCTACAGATTGCTACTGTGCATGTTTTGCTATTGTATTTCATGATTTCTCATGGTTCTTTGTTCTGTGCAATTTCAGTGGGCAAATAATAACAGCTGATAAAACAAATGAACTGATGCAGAAGGGTTACTGGGCAAGTTACAATGTACCGTAAGTGTGAGATTTGATGGATTCTATGAGCTAATGTTTGTATTTTTGTGTTGAAGTCTCCATTAGTTAAATTCAAAGTATTACCTTGGTAAAATTCCTGTATGGACTACTGAGAAAAACAAACATGCTCTTCCATTGTTTTCATTTGGTTCTTATACTCCATTATCATATTTGCACCTTTCTTCCTCCCATCCCCTCCAAAAATAATGACACGAATGAACCCACTCCAGCACATTAGGTTTAGTCATTTCATAAACCATGTGAGGTGTTGGCTAAAATGAATACTCCCTGGAAATTTAACCTTGAGGAAATGTAATATGTAAATAATTCCACGAATATTTGAGCAAATCTTCAGAATATTTGTTTATTTGTACATTTCTACTTGATATACTACCTATGCAAACATTGCAGTTCTTTCTCTGATCTGTGGTATATTTCATTATCTCCATCTTTACCATTGTTGCAATAATTCCTACCACAGCCCCTGCAATGCACGTAGCATTATAAACTGTGCTGTTGTTGATTATCTCGACCTGTACCATTTCTAGAACATTGCTTTTCTCAGTCTAATGGGGAGGTGATGACCTAGTGGTATTATCGCTGGACTGTTAATCCAGAGACTCAGGTAATGTTCTGGGGACCCAGGTTCGAATCCCGCCACGGCAGATGGTGGAATTTGAATTCAATAAAAATATCTGGAATTAGGAGTCTAATGATGACCATGAAGACATTGCTGATTGTTGAAAAAATACCCATCTGGTTCACTAATGTCCTTTAGGGAAGGAAACTGCCATCCTTACCTGGTCTGGCCTACATGTGACTCCAGACCCACAGCGATGTGGTTGACTCTGAACTGCCCTCTGGGCAATTAGGGATAGGCAATGAATGCTGCCAAGCCAGCAACACCCTCATTATCCCATTAATGAAATGAATAAAGATCACTCTCACTTCACCCCTAGAAGTCAGCTCATTTGTCCATGTTTGAACCAAGGCTGTAATGAGGTCGGGAGCTGAGTGGCCCTGATGAAACCTAAACTGAGCAGGTATTGCAGAGCAAGTGCTGCTTGATAGCACTGTTGATGATACCTTCCATCACTTTACTGACGAGTGAGTGTAGACTAATGGGGCAGTAATTGGCTGGGGTGGATTTGTCCTGTTTTGTGTGTACAGGATATACCTGGGCAATTTTCCACATTGATGGGTAGATGCCAGTGTTGTAACTAAACTGAAAGAGCTCAACCATGGAAGCTGCAGTTCTGGAGCACAAGGCTTCAGTACTATTGCCAAAATGTTGTCAGGCCGTTGCAGTATCCAGTGCCTCCAGCCGTTTCTTGATATCACATGGAGTGAACACCACGAGGCCGTCGCCTCCCCATGTCTCTGACTTGACCCATGAATACTGACGCAAGAGATTGCCATCACTGAGCAATAGCTGGCATCCTAGATAATGACATAAATTCACTAAATTGGTGAAAATCTGATTTTTTTTTTCTTATTCATTAACAGGATGAAGGCGTCACTGACCAGGCAGCATTTATTGCCTATCCCTAATTCTCAATATTTTTCTGAATTCAAATTCCACCATCTGCTGTGGCAGGATTCGAACCCGGGTCCCCAGAACGTTATCTGGGTCTCTGGATTAACAGTCCAACAATAATACCACTAGGCCATTGCCTCCCCGATAGCCTTTGACATCAAGGCTGCATTCGACTGAGTGTGACATCAAGGAGCCCCAGCAAAACTGGAATCAATAGGTATCAGGGGTATACTGTCTGCTGGTTGAAGTCATACCTGACACATAAGAAAATGATTGTGGTTATTGGAGGTCAGACAACTCAACTTCAGGCCATCTTTGCAGGAGTTCCTCAGGGTAGTGTCCTAGGCGCAATCATCCTCAGCTTCTTCATCAATGACGTTCTCTCCATCAGAAGTTCGGAAGTGGGGATGTTTGGCGATGATTGCACAATTTTCAGTGCCATTTGCAACTCCTCAGATACTGAAGCAGTCCATGTTCAACTGAAGCAAGATTTGGACGATATCCAGGCTTAGGCTGACAAGTGGCAAGTAACATTTGCACCACACAAATTACAGGCAATGACCATCACCAGTAAGAGACAAGCTAACCACCAGCCCTTTACATTCAATGATGTTACTATCACTGAATCCCCCACTATCACACATACTTGTGGTTACCATTGACCAGAAACTGAACTGGACTTGCCACAAACTCGGTGGCTATAAGAGCAGGTCAGAGGCTAGGAAAACTGCAGCAAGTAACTCACTCCTGACTCCCCAAAGCCTGTCCACCATCTACAAGGCACAAGTCAGGAGTGTGATGGAATACTCCCCACTTGCCCAGATGTGTCCAACTGTAACAACACTCAAGAAGCTTGGCACCATCCAGGACAAAGCAGCCCTTTTGATTAGCGCCATATCCACAAGCATTCACTCCCTCCAGCACTGACACTCAGTAGCAGCAGTGTGTACTATCTACAAGATGCACTGCAGAAATTTGCCAAAGATCCTCAGTCAGCACCTTTCAAACCCACGAACACTTAGATCTAGAAGGTCAAGGGCTGCAGATACATGGGAAAACCACCACCTGCAAGTTCCCCTCCAAGCCACTCACCAACCTGACTTGGAAATGTATCACCATTCCTTCACAATCACTGGGTCAGAATCCTGGAATTCCATCCATAAAGGCATTGTGGGCTGCAGTGGTTAAAGAAGTCAGCTCACCACCACCTTCTCAAGCACAATTAAGGAGGAGCTATAAATGCTGACCATCCAGCAATGCCCACATCCCAAAAAATATATAATCCAGGTGGGCACTTCAATGTGCTACTGAGGATATGCAGTCATTAAGGATAATATAAAAGTTCAAGGTTGTTTCCCTGACTCTCTGTCTTGTTGCCCACTTTTTATGTCTGTCCCATCCAGTTAGTCACCTTTGACATCTACAAAGGCTAGAAATCGGTTCTGCTTATATCATATCCTGACTGATCCTAATTATCATATTGTTTTACCTCAGCCTAACCCATGTTATACGAATTGATATAACCATGGATAAAAGTAACATTTTATGTCTCTTTACCTGCAATATGTTTAATTTTCTACATCTCTGCCAGAACTGAATGACGAATAATAAATGGAGTAGGGTGGAGCTGGAGGAGCACAGCAGGCC